GCTTCCCGAGCATGGGGACAGGAGGGCAGTGAGCCTGTCCCAAGCCTCGCGATGCCATGGAGCAGGGGGGTGGCATCCCGACAGCCCTGTGCAAAGCCAGAAGGGCACCGGCAGTGCTGGGGGAGCGGGCAGGGGGGCTGTCATGACACACACCTTGCAGGGTCTGCGTGTGCTCCCTCCTCAGGGCATCCAACTGCTCCTCCAGCTCCAGGTCTTTTCCCTTTTCCACCTGGGAAGCAAGGAGATGACAAACCTCATGTGTCTGACCCGCCATAAGGGATGCTCCATTCCTTATGGCCAGACCCACACCACTCCAGGCTTCCTAACCCCTTCCTAACCCCTTTCTTCTCCCAAAAACAGGAGAGCCCAGCCCAGCATGTACCAGGTCCCTGACTGCTGCCTGGGAAGTCCTGTCTGGCCACACACTCCCTCCCCGACCGCTGCCCCCAGCAGCACCCCCTTTTCCACTGACCTGGATGTTGGCATCCTGGGTGATTCTCGCAGTCCCTGCCCAGCCAGCATCCTGCAGCCGCTTCTCCTCCTCCTCCTGCTGGCCTTGGAGGAGTCCCGTGCTTTCTCTCTGCTCCTCTCCCAGCACTGCCTTCTCCTTCACACCCTCAAGCAACACGGTGGCATTGGCTGCAACACAAATGCAGATTAAACAGTGCCGGCTGCATCCTGCTAACATGAAATGGTGCTGGCCCCAGTCTGCTAACCGGGCTGCCTGGACATCCCAGGCAGCTGACCTGCCAGTGCGCTGCCCTGGGTTCAGCCCCTCCATCCTCTTCCCACAGGACAAATCCCTCCCCCTCATCTCACTGGTGCAAATTAGGACTAATTCGGATGGTGCTGGCAGGCTCAGAGAGGACACAGCTCATTAGGCATGACCTGTCTGCTGGAGAGGATGGGATGCCATCATCTCTGGGATGCCACCATCCCTGTGATGCCATCGCCTCTGCCTGCCTGCACCAGTGCTGGGCAGAGGCTGGAGCCACCATCCCAGCCTCCCCCGGCACAGGCTGGCTGCCCTGGGGTATCTCCTACTGCTTTCGTAATATCACACTGGGAGAGCACAGCAGAGGAAAACACATTTTCTTCTCACCACTCTCTGTCTTCAAGGCTGTGAGCTCCTGGGAAGCCGGTCCCTGCTGCTGCTGGGCTTTTGGCTGTCTCTGGAGGAGAAAAGAGGGGGCTGGAGCACGGGTGGACAAGGGGAGCAGGTGGCTGCAGGCAGTGACACCCTGTAGCCAGGCACCCTTCAGCCCTGCTCAAACATGGGTGCTCGAGCAGCGGTGGTCCCTCCCCAACCCCCTGCCAGCCCCAAGCACCCACGGGTGGGCATGTGCCACCTGGCAGGTACCCAGAGCTTGTGCCATTTCCCTGTGTCGTGGCTACTTTGCCACGCAGCATCGCCAGCCACGGGCTGGAAAACCCAGGGGATGCTCGCAAACCCCCCAACATGATGCTGGTACAAAATAGGCTCCAGCAGCAAAACATTTGGTGGGGGAGAGCAGGCAGCACCTGGCAGGGCTCCGGCTATGCCGTTTCCTTGCCACTGTCCTCCTGCCCTGTCCCTGCTGCTCTGGGATGCTCGGGGTCAGCTGGGTCCCTGGCACCCAGACACACCCCTCTGCCAGGACTTCACACAGCTGGGCTTTGACACAGCCTGTGCTGGAGTGAGAAAGGAAAAATAACCATAAATCAAAGGCGCTGCCGACCCCATGCAGGGCTGGCAGCAGGCGAGGGCTGGCGGCGGCATAAGCAATGACCTCAGGAGCACAGGAATGTGCTGCTCGGCTGCTGCGGGGCTGATAGAACCCAGAGCCAGGAGCTGCCTTCAGCAACACTGCTCCGTGGGACACCTTCCAGCCCTGCATGGGTTTAATTTAGTCACATGGAGGGGGGGAAAAAAAGGGATGGTTATATTTTTATCTTTTACTGAAAGATAGAAGCAAAGCTCACTTGCTCTCGCAGCTCTGCCTCCCCGGTGCAGGGCACATCTTGCCCCCCATGCCCATCACCGGGTTGTGCTCCTGGGCAGGAGTGCGGATGCAGGTGGGAATCCACCTGCAGACACATGTCTGCTCTCCAGCCCCCAGCAAAGCTGCCTTTAAAAATACAGATCCCTAATGAAACCAGCCCTGCAGCCCAGGGGGTGCTAGGGACCCCCCTCTGCCCCCCGGCTTGGCCCTGCTGTCCCAGTGCCGTGGCCAAATCCAGACTAGATTAGGGAGCCCGGCTTGGGAAAAAAGCGAGGCAAAGCAAACAGGCGTCCCTGCCTCTGCCCCCCCTGCAGCCCCCCTCCTGAAGCTGGAGGGAAGCGCAGTTGCCAGAGAGAGCAGGAAAAATCCCAGCCTCTGGGAAGCCACGGCTTTATCTTCCCTTCTATGGCGTGAGCGGCCGCGGCGCTGAATGCAGCCCAGGCAGCGGGCGAGGAGGCACCAGACGGTCGGGATTCGCAGGAGTTGTTCTCGTTGCCACCATGGGTCACCCTGCAAATGCGGGGTGCTCTGGGATGCTGCTGAGCCCTTACTGCAAAGGGTCCCCGGGGTCTCCAGCCTGCTCCCTGCACCCATTGCATGCTGATGTGCATCCCCCTGCTCTTTGACGTTGCCCGTGTCCTGTGCTGGGTTTTGGAATCCAATGAGGGGTAGGTGGATGAGACAGTAGGGGCTCTGCAAGCCTGGGGGCATCACAGAAACTCAAAAGCCACCTCCCAAGTTTTACTGTGACAAAGCAAAGCCTGTGTGTGGGGACCATCCTCGTACAGCAGTGTCACACAGCCCCCAAGGGTTTTGGATGAAATGAGCCTTGCCAGGAGATGGATGCTGCTACCTTCTCCAGGAGTGACCCCCAAACCTCACCTGTCCAAACCCAACCGCCTCTGCCCCACGCGTCCCGCTTGCCGGCAAAGGTGATGCCCAAGGACAGAGGGCCCAGGGCTGGTCACCCCCGATCACCCCCATAGCACAGGCGATGTCCCCACATGGATCCAGGGCACTTTCACCTCTCCCCCATACCCGAAACCCAGCGGGATGGGGCCTCAGAGCCCTTCGACTGCTCAAGGAGGATGACTTGAGATAACTGTGCTGAACTGGGAAATGGCTAAAGGGAGCAAGAGGTGCACCGGCATCCGCAGACAAATCTAAATACCTGCCCTGCGGCTACGAGCGAGGCAGCCTTCCTACCTCTAGGAGCAATTAAATGGTGTCTGGAGCTAATTTTACTCCTGAGCACGCAATTGCCCCTTAGGATGAGAGCTCCACCGCCAAAGGCAGAGTGGAAAGCCAAAGGTGGCTGAAAACTAACTGAAATATAGGGGCACCTTCCGCCACCGCTTCCAGAGCAGCACATGGCACCATGTCTCTGGTATCGCCCGGAGCATTTTGGGGAGCTGGAAGATGCTCCTGGTATCCACTGTGTGTGAAAAGATAAAGTTGGGCGTTGTGTCAGCTAGAGTGGCTCTGGCATGGGGAAGAAGCAGCCTGAAACATCCTGCAGGTGCCGGCCATCGGCAGGGCTGCTTGTCCTGGAAGGTCTCCATATGGAAACCTCTAGCCTTGGCTTTGGAGAGGCTTCTGCCAAAAAATACCTTCTAGCTAGTAAAAAAAAAAAAAAAGTATCCACATTCCTAGAACTAAATACTTCTAATGGTCTGGAGTGATACTGTTCATGGATGGATTAACCAGGATTTTCAGCAGAATCTGAGGCACTTTGAAAGGTGCCAGAGGAGGGGATCCTGAGCAGAGGCAGCGGCACGGTGCGGGCAGCCGCGGGCATGAGGTGGGGTTTTCTACAGTATTTTTCTTCCTCTTTTCCTGTTTTAAAAGTACATTAAGCAATTAAAACATGCAACGTTACTGTCAGCAAATGAAATCACAGAGAGGCAGGAAATGAGCATTTAAATCTTGATGCTGCTCCTGGGGATGAGGTTTTGCTTTGTGGCTGTGGAAAGGGGGACAGGATTTGGCCCGTGACCCTAAAACCTCCCTGGGACCTGCAGCAGATGCTTGGTGCTGCCAGAGCAATGCTGGTGCAGGTCTGGGAGACCCGTCTTCGACTCTGCTGCTGCTTTTCCTACGGCAACGGTGTGCTACAAGATGGCAATCGCCTCTCGTACAGTCAGATCCGTGCCACAGACCATACGCAAACTCTTCATGCTGTTGACAGCCCCAAGTTTTGCATCCTGACCTTTCCCTGGCTCCTGCTGCTACATATAGTTCCTATATCTCCAAAATAAATCCACCCCAGCCCTGGAAGGCGGCCAGGCCTCAGCCCTCATCTTTTGGGAAGGCGGCTTGGCCTCTCTCACGCCGGGAGCAGGGCTGAATGGCGAGGGGCTGAGTGTGGATGGATGGAGCCAGGAGGGGAAGGGACCCCTGGGGATGGTGCCCGCAGCTCGGGGCTGGGCTCTGGCTGTGGCATCTGCGCTGGTGCCTCCTTATCACCCCAGAAGGACGAGGCTGCCAGCCGCCTCCCCCGGGGCATACAGCAGCGCCTGGTATGCCATCTGCCCACCGGCACGGGCTCCCCAAGGTCACCTCCAACCTGCGACCAGCTCCAAAAGCCTCTGCAGCCCCCAGCACCATGACAGCCCCCAGTCCCATGACATGCACCCCAAGTCTTCCAAGCAAGGTTTGAGGCCTCCCCCCATCCCCAAGCAACCCCAAGGGACCAGCTCTGCAAGGCCACCCATCAGCAGCAGGAGGGTGGAGGTCTCCCACCCCATCTTTCAGTATCCTGGACATGAGGACATGGGCAGGAGCGGCTCAGTGCCCACCCTTACGCCTTTTTGTCATAAAGGGGATTTTTGGTGCTGCTCTCGGAATTAACTTGCAGGTTAGTGACAGCACAGGGCTGTTCTGTGGGCACAAATCGCAGTAAGCAGCGCTGCAGGGCTGAGCAAAAGAGTTTGAGAGCGGGTAAGTGCAGGAAGGGAGGCGTCTGCGGGCAAATGACTCTGACAAATTTCCGTATTTCGGTAAATGTGCAGCTCTCAACACCTGGGGCCTAGGGGCTGCTGTTTCTCCCTGTCCCATGCCCCTTCTTGCGAGCTCTTAGAGCCACAAACCAGCCCAGAAGTGTCTGATCTTATGACGTGGAGAAGAGCGGGGATATTTTTCCATGACACGGAGCAGCAGCCAAGCCTGCAAGTGCTGTAAATAAAGGCACTTGCTGGCTCAGGGCCTGTGCGAGCTCCCCCCACACACCCCAGCAGCGGGTTGGTCTTTGGCCGCTGGTTCCCGGGTGGCCGAGCTCCCACAGCTGCCTCTGCAAAGGGCTGCCCGTGCTGGGGGGCACGCCAGCACCGGGGGGGCTTTCTACCTTTCCTCCTGCTCCCACCATCCTCCAGCAACCACAACCCACTGACACCAGTACACACAGCACATCTGACTTCACAGCTCCTGACACCGATGGTGAGGCGCTAAGACAGCATGAGCACGTCAAAAAATAATAATAATTAGCAGCAGATAATTTCTAGACCTTAACGGGCAGAAGAGCTTGTCAGTGCAGAGCAATGCACCGTGTGATCTGCTGAGGGCTCAGAGTGTTCCCCTGCACAAGTGTCACCTTTAAGGGGACACAACTTTTGGGACAAGGGGGGGATGCTGTGGGAGTATGACAGAGATTTAGCTGGGGGAACCCATCCCTGTCTTATATGGGACCAGCATTTCCAACCAGCACGGTCACTCCAGATGCTGCACCCCCTTTTGTACGGGCTTCCCTGTGATGTGGGGGGCTCTCTCCCCATGCCTGGAGGGGTGCAGGAGGGTGCAGCAGGGCAGGTGGCTGCCAGCTCCCGCTGTGCCCACAGCCGGCTCCCCACCCACACCACCAGTGGGGTCACATGCAGCCGGGGACACCCACACTGCCCAGCCCCTCTGCTCCCCGGGGTGGGGGTGACCCA